TGTACGTATGCATGTACGTATGTATGTATGTATGTATGTATGTATGTATGTATGTATGTAGAGATTTGTAATGTGCACCCTGACATGGAGAGTTGCCGAGTGCAGAGTCGGCCAGGTACTCCAGTTTCGCTGGAAGCATCGGTGGAGAGAAGGTCAGGATGAAAATGCATGTTTTTTAACGTTAAAAAACATGGTTTTTAACGTTAAAAAGCATGAGAGTTTTTCGGCAGCGCTCTGAAAGCGTTAGAAGATGACCAGCGCAGCTCTGAGCCGATATTTGGATGCAGGATCAGAATGCGTCGCTGAAGTCGCCAGTGGAGGGAGAGCTGGCCAACAGCAGCGAGAGCTCAGATCTGAGGAGAGATCAGGTGGAGGTGACTGGTGCTGGCACTGTCGTCGTTGCGAGAGTGCCAGCACAAGCACCGATTGCTCACACCGCTGCTCGACCGGAGTCTAGGAGCACCCATCTCCAATGTTTCGATGTAGATTCGATGAGCAAGAAGTAGTTTGCGCCCGTTGCTTCCACAGACATACGTCCAAATCCTGTCCGAATCTCAGGAACGAGCTGCTCGAGCAAGCTCCGCGGAAGCAGATCCCGCGCAGGCAGGCTCTCCCAAAGTGGAAGCCGCTGTCTCAGCCCAGGCCGCCGTCACGTTATTGCATACTGCGGTGGTCCCTGTCGACCATGCAATGACAATCTAAAACTGCAGGTCCATCGCTTCGAAGTAGAAAGAAGTCCGATCCAGGTATGGTAAGCCACCCTGCAACTTTGAGTCCTCACAGGATGATCCAAATCCGAATTGCCAGGGGTCAGAGCGGCAGCAGTAACGGCAGCAGTCGAGTCCCGTGTGAGAAAGTCATGCTCGCCAGATAGTGGTTTCATCACTCGTGGGAGGCCTGAAAGGAGGAGAAAAGGCCTAAACCCTAAGCCCGAAACCCATCGCCTGAAGCTCCCTATCAACCTCGCCTGTGAGCATCGTTCTCTAAAAATGCGGGAGGGAAAAGAAGCCCTAAGCCCTAAACCAAGTGCGAGAGTGAGTGCTGAAACCCTAAACCCTAAGCCAGCCTTGTGCGAGTGTGTGAGTCGAAACCCTAAACCCTAAACCCTAAACCCTGCTTTGAAGGATTCAGATGTAAGTTTGCCAGGCCGAGCACAGCTTGGAGTCAGTCGAGGCGTCAGCTTCTCAGTTCCGGGAGATCCTCGAATCGAAGCTACAGCTTGAAGATGGCAATATATACTAGAATATACAACGATACACTATAACATAGTATAATACAATATAGTCTATAGTCTACTATAATCTACTAGGATATAGCTGAGCCGTTGAAGTTGTTGTAGGTTTCGTTGCAATTGTGCACTAAGGCCTCCCGTGCCCAGCACGGGAAGGCCGCAGGCAGCCCCCGGCGTTTCCGCAGGGACAGGGACTGACACGGCCACAACAAAACCAGATTCGGCATCGCCACCCTTACCACAGCAGCCTGGGTCTGGCCCCCTGACACCTCTGCAGGCGCGGCCCGTTAGTGAAGCAGATGCGGCCGCGCCCATTCAGATGCCACTGCCAGCCCAGACTCCCCGTGTCCTTGCCTCGGCACCGCCGCAGCCCTTGCAAATGCAGACTAGCGACCCTGTACAAAGCTTGCCAGCACAGGCTACCGCAGCAAGGGTAGACGATTCAGCCGCCACACAGCACCAGCTGGACAGCTCCAGCCGTGTGGGGGAGGCTTCGATTCAGTTGCACGGTGATGCTCGGCAGTTGGCTGACATGCCTCCTGCAACGGTGCAAGAAGTGCGTCCAGCTGTACCACTATCACCCGACGAGTCTGCCGTCGGAGGGCCTTTGAAACCAGCGGATGTCGGCACAATTCCTGCTGGCGATGGTGCGATCCCAGCCAAGCCGAATGCGGCAACTGCCTCGCCGGCCGTGCAGCCTGAGCCCGTGCAAAGCGAGCAGCCGGCAAGCGTCCAGGCGCCAGCGCAGCCCCTGCTTCCGACAAGGAATTCTCCCCTGCTTGTTGCTGGAAATGCCACCCAGGAAGCTCCGGCAACTTCCGTTCAACTTGTGCGACCTCCACCGGCGCCACCGCCGGTTTCGGCAGAAGGAAACACCCGCAGCGTGCCGGTCAACAACTCGTCTCCAGAGCCGGACAGTCAACTCTTGCTGAAGAAAACGGCGCCTGTGACCAGTGAAGCTGCGGCCGCCTCGGTCGTGGCAGGCCAGGTGGCAGCTTTGTCCGGAGTGCCAATTTCCGTCGCGCCCGCTGGGTCTCCAACATCAGCAACAGCGAGCAACAAGTCCACGATCACAACACTGCGCCCTGTCTGCAAGCCAGTAGAGGGGTCACTTGAAGGATTTCCACCGGTTAGCGCTTGGATTTGGACATGTTTAGACACTGCTACTCTCGACGCCAGTAGACTCAGTTTGGTGGGAACTAGTTAGCTTGCAGAAGGGCTATTCCATCCTAAAGCGGTTTCCATTCCATGTCAGGAGGACAGAGCCGGCGCAGCATCTATCTATTGCGCCAGCCAGCCTCGCAGAGCAAGGGGTCCAGGCCAGCCAGGTCCCACTTGCATCCGGCATGATGCCTGCTACGGGCATGGCAACAATGCCAGCAGTGAATGGTGGTGCTTCCGTTATGATGCCAGGCATGGCGACCGCTCCCGTAGCAATTGCAGCAAACCCCACTACAACTCCAGCCCCCACCACAGCTGCACCAACTACGGCAGCAGCCACCACTGCAGCGCCTACCACTGCGGCAGCTACCACCGCCGCTGCTACAACCGTCGCGGCAACCACGGCTGAAAAAGAAGGCGAAGATGAGAAGGACGGCGCCGCTCGGAAGTTATAAGTTACATATATACGACATGCTTATCATGGCAAAGTTAATGCTTCGTCATCCATCCAAGGACGACAACGATGGGGGCAGCCCTGAAGGAGGACATAACGGCATCGCAGCTCAATTTGGTTCACTCTCACTCTCTCACTCTCTCTTTCTCACTCTTACTCTCACTCCCTCACTTTCACTCTCACTTTCTGTCTCTCTCTCTCTCTCTCTCTCTCTCTCTTTCTGTAGACGATGCCTGGTGCTGGATGCTGGACAGGGGTTTTCAGAACAACAGCGGCTATGTAGAGTGTGCGAGTCCGAAGCATTTGGATGTTTTGTGAGCCGGGAGTATGCAGCTCAACCCTAGAACACTAAACCTTATCCCCCCAAAGCCGAAACTTAAACCCTAAACACTAAACAGTAAACCCTAAACCTTAAACCCTTAGAATCGTTGGACAAGTATCGCTGCAGACCTTGCCTTTGTCCGAGTGTGAGTGCCAAAAAACCCCTAGGAAGTCTCGCAATCCGGAAACTTAAACCCTAACCCTAAACCCTAAACCCTAAACCCTAAACCCTAAACCCTAAACCCCCAGACCCTAAACCCTTCAGGCAGCCATGAAATCGTTGCTGTTGGCTCCGGCCGGGCCGAGGAGGCTCGGTTCCCAGGCTGTTATTGTCATTAAGAACTATTCGAAATTATAAC